TAGAGACGACTCAGTTGAAGTAGTTACAGATGAGCGGTCATCGATACACATACTATGAAAAATTGCAGCAGCCACCTTGGCTCACCCGCTTGAAAGACGTCTACATATTCGACAAGCAATCGTCGACTATTTCAGTGCTAGTTCTTATAACCAAATCCTTAGCCTCTTGCCCATCGCTGAGAGCTACGACGATCTCGGCGATCCAGCTAGGCATGCCTTCCTCCGGTCCAACGACAACTTCTCCATCGTGGACAAGAGCACTCAGTTGGATCATACCAGGGATATCACGGAACTTGTCCAAAAACTCCGTGCTGTTCACGACACCAGATTTGGGAGCTCCAACAAAAGAATAGGCGATGCACATGCCAGTGGGCTGAATAGGCGGTCTCGAAGGGATACCGACCGTCATAAGCAGCTGTTCAACAACTAGGTCGACGCCGCTGACATACGTGTGGATGAGTCTAGTAGGACCACCACCCATTCTAGCATTCACTTCGATCAGACGAGGGCCACGACTGGTGAACTTGCCTTCAACATGGAAAACTCCGTTGGTGAATCCAATGGCAGCAACAGCGTCCTGAGCCATGTTTTTGAGTCCGAGGACCTTATCCTCAGGGAGAAGGGAAGGGAGCGCCGCCCAGGTCTCAGCGAAATAAGGCTCGACCGTCGGACCGTTATCGATAACATAGCAGAATCTGCATTCGCCATCGGAGAAAATACAGTCCACGTCCACCTCGTCGCCATCTAGGTACTCCTCGAGCATCATGTCTAGGGCGATGATGCGCTCAGCATTGATACCATCACCATCGATCACTTCAGAAATGGCCGAGTCCGCACGAACTCTGGTCACTCTCTCCAAGGCACCAGCTTTGACCCTCAGTCCAGCCATCAGTCTGACGAGCTCACCATAGGTACGTCTAAGATCATCCATGTCGGTCACCTTCTGGACACCGAGAGAGGCGGCTCCAGCGATAGGCTTGAGCACTGCTGGGAACCCAACGTGTTCCCCGGCTTCCTCCAGCTGGGCCGGGTCGGTTATCAGGAAGTTCTTGATAGACGGCAAACCCTTAGCGGTCATTATATCACGAGTTTTGTGCTTGTCACGAGCAATATCGACACATGCGACCGAAGGACCAGGGAGGCCTAGGGCCTCTGACAACCTAGCAGCCATGGGCACGGCTAGCTCGATGAAGGTGCAGATACCATCGACAGGACCTACGAGAGGGTCGTCCTTCAGCGACTTCACAGCATCTAAGGCCTGCTGGAAGACGACCTCATTGTCAGCAGCCAAGTCGATCGGGATGAACTTGGCGATGATCTGCTCAGCGACCATCTCCTCGGCCCATGAGTCCTCACCATCAATAACGACGACCTTCACACCGAGCTCAGCCGCCCTCTGGTAAATAAACTTCTTGCCCTTGTAGCCAGCACAGAACATAGCGACAGTCGATCCACGGAGTAGCTGCTGCCTCAATGCTTGACCTTCTTCCCCATCGTGTTCAAGAAGTTGTCGAGGAATCTGCTTGACCATTTCGAAGGTGGCCGTTGGAGCCAAATCAACGGCAACCTTCCTGCGCTCCTCGGGGGTCATGGCATCAGGAAGGCTGGATGTACCAAGGAACATATCAGCCATGAACGGGGTGGACAGGTCGAGGTTGAGTTGGCCATCTTCGACGACCTCTAGACACATACCATCTAGAGAGGAAATGCTGGGGGACCGCTGATGAGGTCTGGCCAAGGGCGACTGCCATGCTCCCTCGTTGGGCCTGTTGTTAGCGACTTCGAGCGCTTCGTCAAAACTGAGAGTCATTGGTTAGAAAAAAAGTAGCTTTCAGGACCACAATGAGAACATGCTGACCTGAGGATTTTTATGCGACACCGCGCCGATAACAGCGGAGCGAAGCGCAAGTTGCACTTTTTGATGAAGATTTTGTTAAATATCCCACTCCTGGTCGCGTGAATCTGGTAGGGTAGTTCGGTACGAACCGACCCTAGAAATACCGATCAGGGAATGACTCTCAGTTTCGCAGGGTCTGAGTGACCATCTGTAGTTGGCTAAACAGGTTCCTCCTTACCTTGATTATCCCATGATATACGGAACTAGGGGAAGATCCGATCGCCTCACGGTTTCATCTCTGCAGCGCTGCTAGCGAAGCGACGCGACCTTCCGCATGCTGACTCTTGCGTCTCCATCAACAGCCGTGATTTACCGAGGAATCTTCGAGATACAGGTGAATCGCTACTTAAAGAGGCGCATTTACAGGACTTCCCACATGATCTACGCCAGCCTCGATCTTGGTTGGCATCAGGAATACGCCACGTCTCGTAGCAAGTACTGTCGTCAGTCAGCTGCTATGAGCATCAGCGCTTTCGGCATGGCGTACCATCGCCTCCCATTTGCTTTGACGCGGATGATCTCGCAGGTGGAAGGTTAGATAAAGACTACACGATCACGCCTCAAGTCCGCAAAAGTGGCCATCGGATATTCCCACGCCGTCCCTCGCTCAGAACAAGAGGGGGAGGAGTCGATGATTCTACAATGACGGTGGTAATGACTAGGCACGTTTCAAAGAACTGGGTGCACTGCTACAGTAGCGAACCTGCATGCATGCCTTGTTGATTTCAGTACAAAATACCACTAGACCAGGTATTGCTGCCGTCACTACTCTCAACTAGTAGTCGTCGTAATCTGAGCAATCATACAGCTGGGTGGTAGCAGGCAGACAGTCCTCGAGCGATACTCCAACGGCTTGACGATTTTTTCGATACCTCCCATGCCGACCAAGCCAGCTCCAGTGATCTCGACTGGTCCATCCTTCGAGAGCTCATACTTTTGCCTCTACACGATCTCTTTTTATCGTTGTTTGAGGCGCTACTGTCCCCCAGCACCATACCACTCCCTGACTACATCAGGTGCTCTGATGCCGGCCCGTCTACCGTACAGTGTGTCTCGTCTCTGAGATGATGGGAGCGTTTTTGGAGTCCTACGCTCACTCAGTCCGTAGCAACGGCAGCTCCCTCGCCTAGTGGCAGTGGTAGCTCTGGAACGATGTACCACTCCGGTACGGTTCAGATTGGTCCACTGATAGGCTGCTATTGCCGATCTCACTCACCCTCTCGCCTTCTGACCGCCATCCATTCAAGCATGTTATTATCAGTACTTTGATCAGCAGAAATCCGTCCGTGCTGAGCGCCTTCAACCACTGCTCGGTTCGATGGACAGCCCAACTACTCTGCGCCCTTCAATTCCTCCATGACTGTGGAATGGGCCATCGCGACGTTAAATGTACCAACATATTGGGGCTAAGGAGGCTAATCTTGGTCCGCAAAACCTCCCCATTGTAAAGGAGCGGATTCGATGATAATCATGATCAAGATGGGCGGATACTTTGCCGTATAGCATCAATCATTGGATGGACAGGCTGCGATGGGCGGCCTCGATCGATGTTCCTGACCAGGAACCTATCCTACTGTCGGATGCTCGAGGGCAGATCTTTTCTGGATCAAGCTGATTAGAGACTATGGGAGTAAGCGTTGGAGCACAGGTAGACTTCGTCCACTTGCTGTGATAATGGCCATGCTTTCAAACAATGGGTGAAGACGAGTACAGTGATTGCCAGTGGGAGGCCGAAGAACTCCAGGATTCACAGGTCCGCAGACACCATCTTTGATGTGGCGGCGGAATCATCCAATCAGCTACGCGGCCGGGCGGTAGTTGAGACCCGCTGCCTCTAGAGTCAGAGATGGTTTGGGAAGTGGAGGCACCGCAACGCACGACCACTTACTGCCCGAATTCTCGTGGGCGAACTCGGAAGAGTTGTTAATATCGCAGAGGAGTAATGATAGGAGGCCTCGAAAATCTCGGGTGATCATGTTGAGCAGGAAGAACAGCGATAGTCGACTAATGTGGTGCTCGCCCATCGAAGTTTCATTGTGTATTGTAAACCACTAGGGACCCCTCAGCATCACTCTAATATTCCACTCACGTATCCACAGCCCTTACGGGTATTTCTTTGGATGACGTGCTCCCAGCACTAATGGTTCCATACCACTTTTCCATGAGTTACATGTGTACGGTACCCAACTGAAGAACCTACGGAGCTTTGCATCTATTACAATTGTAACGTATCACTAGTAACAAAACGCGGTGGTTCCAAGGACTTGGAGAAAAGAGTTTCGCGGAATATCAGTTCATCAAGAGAAAGCTCTGGCTTCTTGTCATCACGAGCCGTAGTACTGCACAACAGGCAAGCGAGACAAACGAAAAGGGGAAGATCAGACCGCTGCTTAGTTCTTGCACTGATCAGGAGACAAGTCAAGGTTGAGAGCACCAGCCATTGAAACCTTGAAGACATTGGTGTTAGCGTTGTAACTGCACTTCATGAACTCAGACAACTGCTTGGTGTTCATGCCCAAAGATTCGGCCAACTTGATGAGATCAGCATTATTCCAGTCGGGCTCGACCGTAGTGCAGTCA